GCCATGGAGACCGGGCCTGGCTGGCTGGCTGGCGGTGCTTTGCGATGATCGGTTCCCTACTTGGGGAACCGATCATCGCAAAGCAATGCTTTTTTAAACAGTTGATCGGCGGTTTCAAAATGGCCACCCACTGTTTTCTGGCCACGCTGTGGAGGATCTTCGCTTACCGGTGAGTTTTTTCCCCATAGGAATGCATTAAATGGGGTTTAATGCGTTCCTATGGGGTTTTTTGCCCCGCATAGCGAGGAATCCGGATAGCGATGTTTTTTTTTTAGAATCGATTAACGTCACTATGCAGGGCACCACTGTAGTTGCAACATGGAGTGTCTTCTCTTTTGTGGCACCTAACATACAGAAGAATCTCCCCAATGAAATTAGGCCAGGTCCCAATACAGGGTGTTTCTACTGCCTGTTGAAGCCTTATTTGCTTGCCTAAATGTATTTCTGATTGTCACACTAAGACAGTTAATTCCTAGCAATTTTAGTTATTTTAATGGAATATGTATTTCTTTTATTTTTATAATTTTAGGAAGACTGTTATTTACTCATGGTGTAATCTCACCTTGCTGACCTTTTCACAACTGTAATTCATTTATGTTAATATCACATTTAAGACACATATGCACTCAACAAGGGCTAGTATTGAGTGGTCTATCCTTGATGATTTTCCACTGCCTTGTTTAATGCAAGACAACCAGTGTGATGTAGTGATAGAGTGATGGACCAGGACTCGGGAGTCCTGGGTTCAAATTCCTACTCAGCCATGAAAGCTGTAAAGCTGTAAAACTGTTTCTTAAATATCTCATTTAAAGTCCTGTTGGGTCACTATAAGTTGCTTCTGACTTGACGGTACATGACATGTAATGTAAACTGTAATCAGAGCTTGGCGATGAGGGAAGGCTACAATTTCCAGAATCCCAGAGTCAGCACAACCAGCGACAATGCTTCCTGGGGTATTCTGACTGTTGTAGTCCAGAAAAGTACTTTTCCAAGTTCTGAGTATAATTCACAACACATTATACTTTCAGATTGAGGTGAATGGACCAGTTTTGAAGTGAATCTGTATTTCCTACTCTAGGCTGGTGGCAGAGTGGAGGCTTTCCCGAGGAGTTGAAGAACAAACACAATCTTTCTTTGAAGGTTTCAATGAGATTTTACCACAGCAGTACTTACAATATTTTGATGCCAAGGAGCTTGAGGTGAGTCTAATCTTAGATCATAAGACTGAGCAGAGAGGCTGTTAGAACATTTGAAGTAGCTAATAAATGGAATAACAGTTTCTTAAATTGACTGTGTTGAATTGTTGACAGTATGACTAGGCCACTGCATTGGGTTCATTTTAGCTAAGCAAACTATGCATCAAAGAAACATTATCCTTATGTACATGTAAGGCAACCAAGTTTTACCAAGATAAAGATGCATTCTGGAAACCCCCACGAGGTGTGCGCTTCTACCACTTAGAGATCATTACAGCAGCATTTCTAGCTCCTAACAGGTGTCTCTCCCCTCCCTTCCCCTCTCCCTTTCCAAATAGGTGCTTTTGTGTGGAATGCAAGAGATTGACTTGACTGACTGGCAAAGGCATACCATCTACCGGCATTATACCAGGACTAGCAAACAAATTGTGTGGTTTTGGCAGGTTTGTCTTGCTTTAATATATTCAAGAAGAATTTCAAAGGTGCCAAAGTTTCAGCAGTGGACCTCTGAGGGAAATAGTATCTCCTTACTGTTCTGCATGAACTGTTGCCTAAGTATTATCCATCTAAAAGTTCCTGACAATTTGCATAACATACCCATCTTAGTCTCTTGCTGCAAAAACAGTAAATTCCTGTGATGCCCTAAATAACAAATTTATTGTGGCATAAGCTCTAAAATCAAAGTATCATCTTCCATTATTTGTAAAATTAGCTTTGAATGCTTTAAAGTCCAATTCTTCCCAGCTAGATTCTCTTCTAGATCATCCTTTGCAGTTCACATGTCACTCTTCTCCACTTGAAACGTAGTGGCTTTCATATTAGCATAAGATTAGATGAGTAACAGTACATATTTTTAAACATTAGAAGGTGCATATTATAATTAAATATAATAATACACAATTCTGTGCTGTGAGATTTATTCCAATTTATGGTGACCCTTTCCAGGGGTTTTTAGGTAGTGAGTACTTGGACGTGGTTTACCAATTTCTTTTGGGGCACCCTGGGACTGTGCAGATGTGAGAGAACAAATGTTAAAAGATTCTGAAAACATGAGGATTTCTGTTATTGGAAAAGGCATTTCATGATCATACAAGAATTCTTATTTTTTTAGTAACCCTCCCTAAGTTTAAAAAAGTATAAACAAATGTATGCAATGTTCCTGATTTAAAACTTTCTTTCATATTATCTGCTTCATCCTGTGAATACTTTGTCATTTAAGTGCTTTCACTCCAACAATTTGGATGGAATCTGTACAATTCTTTTAAATGTATTCTCTTTTTCAGTTTGTTAAGGAAATAGATAATGAGAAAAGAATGAGATTGCTACAGTTTGTTACTGGAACATGCCGATTACCTGTAGGAGGCTTTTCTGATCTCATGGGTATGCAACACTCTTCTTTTGGCAATTTTCACTTATATTCTTTCAGAACCTTGGCCATTCATAGATAAAATTGAATTCACTGGCATATAAATATTGCAGCTGCCTTTTCCTTTCAGGAATTGTGATTTAAATAATAATCTTTGACTCAAGAGGTAAAGGATATCTAGCAGGTTCTACATTGTTAGCAGATTGTAGTTTCAAAAAGCTGATAAAAGGATATTGTTTCTTTTTGATACAGTGGAAATTAGACACAGTAGCACCTTCACTCTTATTGTATCCTGTGTGTTGCAGAACAGAACTCTGTAAACTGGGAGTCCTGTAACGCAGTGGTCCCCAACCTTGGGCCTCCAGATGTTCTTGGACTTCAACTCCCAGAAATCCTAGCCAGCAGAGGTGGTGGTGAAGGCTTCTGAGACTTATGGTCCAAGAACATCTGGAGGCCCAAGGTTGGGGACCATTGCTGTAACGTAACAAGAAGGCAGTGGAAGCAGTTTTAACTGATATTTCCTTCCACTTTGCACTCTCCATTCCCCCATGAATCCGACCTAGAGATTCAGAAGACTGTCTGAAGATAATGTACTCATATTTGCACTATACAGTATATTTAGTCTTGAAAATAATGGATAAAATGTTCATTTCTCTTAACATTTTAAATTATTCTGATTCATTCATTCATTGGTATTTTAGGGAGCAATGGACCTCAAAAGTTCTGTATTGAAAAAGTTGGTAAAGAAAACTGGTTACCTAGAAGCCATACCTGGTGAGGAATTTAATTTAGATAATAATTGTGACTTTCTTTTCTTTTCTTTTCTTTTCTTTTCTTTCTTTCTTTCTTTCTTTCTTTCTTTCTTTCTTTCTTTCTTTCTTTCT